TAATTAAGATAGGATTCGTCCTTCCCACATAATAGGAAATATATCACATGCCACTTGATTGAGTGAGACTAGAATTGCATGACCATGCTCGAATAAGTTGATATGAGATATCACAAATTATTCGTTAATCATAGTCTACTCTAGATATCAAGAAATAATAGATGGGCTATACAAGTCTGACTATTCCAAGACTTGTGCTTATTCTAGATATAAAGGACAAAATGATGTAATACATAAAAGAGTTAATCACGAAGATGATATGTTAAATCATAATTTCTTGTAACTTAGGTGACAATGATATATTTCTAGATGTCACTCATTGTATGTAACATTAGAATTGTTCTAATAATTACTACTAACGTTACAAGAACCTACAGGGTCACACCCTAGGATTAAAATGAACAAAGATGTACAATTTGTTGTACGTTACTAAAATATATCTAGAGTTAATATATGTATATTTGATATACATATGATATTAAATTATCCTGAATATAGTAAATAAACATTGAAATAATGTAATTCTGATTACAACTCTTTTAATGGATATTTAATTCAGAATAATTAAATAAGAATTTAAATAAACGTTAAAGAGTGTAATTTGAATTATAAGTCTTTAATGAATATTTATTTGAATTAATTAAATAAGAATTTAATTAATTCGAAATAACCAAAAATCCCTAATATGTTAGGTTAACTCGGATATTTAATGTTGTGTAAGGTCTGGCATCCTTTTTTCTTCAGCTGTTTTATCAAAAATGTTTTTTGGGAAAAATAAATTTTTTCTCTCAATCGAGTGAATTGAGTAGAGGTTGAGATTTATTTTCATGGAGGTTTACGATTCGAACCGTTCTTAATCACCATTAGTCACAGTTGTCTTTGTTGTTTATCAAGGAACCCACTGTAAGTATTCACATCATTTCCTCCCAATTTTAATTTTTCGTACTTGGATCCCTGATGAAACCGTCGAGTTTTGTTTTCGCTGTGCCATGGGGCGCGTCGGCGGTCTCAACAGTTGACAGTATAGAATCAGAGAAGGTAGGGAAATCATCGGATGTTAAGGGGAGCATCTCCTTGAAGTAGGAAGATAGGACCTCATCTTTTTTCTTCACATAAGTGAAGAAAGTCTTCAAATAACTCATCAAGTTACCTACATGTTCCTTAGTTTCGTTTGGACGACTCAACCACTACAACTAACCTTACTTCAGTAATGGTTTTTGTACTAGTCTCTAGTGTTTTCTTTGGTTTATCTTCATCAAATCCCAATAACTCAGAGATCTTCTCCATTATAAGGCCATACTTTCCGGGGAAAACTTCATCAAAGGTATCCGCGTACATCCCCTTCTTGTAACAGAGGGCAATTATTAAGTTTGGAAAGATTAAGGGGCTTGACTTCCTCTTGAGGCATGCACATACCTCATCGATAATGATATTTCCAATATCGATTGGGCGTCCCACAATAATAGAATGAAACAACATCATCTACTACAAGAAAACGATTGTATGATGTGATGTGGGCATCAACCTTATCTTGTAACAGAGGGCAATTATTAAGTTTGGAAAGATTAAGAGGCTTGACTTCCTCTTGAGGCATGCACATACCTCATCGATAATGATATTTCCAATGTCGATTGGGCGTCCCACAATAATAGAATGAAACAACATCACCTACTACAAGAAAACGATTGTATGATGTGATGTGGGCATCAACCTTGTCTTAAGGAAGTGATTCCATAGCTTTGATTTAGGCTTGAGGAATCTTCTCTTTATGGTGAACCTGCTGGTTTGGGAACATTTCCATTATGTCCCTTGGAAGCACAAGTCTTTAAGGATCCCTTGGTAGGTTTTGTTGTTAGCGTCTTTAACAAATGAAGAGTGTTTATCAACCACGTTCTTTTTTATGGAAAAACCTATTAATGGTTGATGAGGTGAATCGAATTGTTTCCCCTCGCACAAAGACCGAATGTTGAGAGGGGTCAATAAGGTTGGCATAGAATTCTTTCGCCAATGATACATTCACATCACCGAGATGTTGCACGAATTGCTTCCACTTGTGATCATTCACCACTTCCATCACCTTCAGTCCAAAGCCGCCCTCTTCATTGGAAATAATGATGAGCCCTTGACCGAGGTAAACCCGACAGCCCTTGATATTTTGAAACCTCTCTTTTGTCGCATTATCTTTGAACTTGTTAATATGGATTTGCTACGGTGGTTGTGTTGATGAAGTGGTACCAATCACTTGCTTGCAACGAGCCATGTTGAAGGTAAGGTGAAAAGAAATAAAGCTTTTGAAGGTTTGGCTAGGGTTGTTCATAGACGGTTAACTGTACCGTTTAACCTAAATGGTCGGTTAATCGTTATAACGGTTATGAGATTTTTCTAACCATAACCTAACCAATAAGAAGCGATTAACTGCTAACAATTAACCTTTATTAACGATTCGGTTATAGGTTAACCTACGGTTAACCTATTACAATTATTTGTCATTTTTTTCATAATTCATACTACAAAAAAATTAGCACTTAACACATACTTACATCAGTGTAAGTAAATAAAATAAACAAATATAGCACTTAATACATACTTACACCAGTGTAAGTGAATAAAACAAAAAAGTGTAGCACTTAACACATACTACACCGATGTAAGTGAATAAAATAAAAAAGTGTAACACTTAACACATACTTACAACGGTGTAAATAAATAAATAAAAAAGTGTAGCACATAATACATACTTACACCGATGTAAGTATGTACATCTCCTCATATCTTAGTATCTAACAATAAACATGTAATTATATTGGTGTAAGTGTGTTTCTATATTTTTAAAGAAATAAAAATTAAAAATAATAAAAAATAAAAAATATATATTAATTTATTTGTATACAAATTTTATTAAAATATGTATAAATTATAAATAATAAAAACTTATATTAAGTTATTTATGTAAAAATATAATAAATTATAAATATTAATTATAAATTTAATTTAATAACGGTTAACCGTTTATCAAAATTCATATCCGTAACCTTAACCGTTAACCATCATTTTTAACGGTTCAATTAACCGAAACCATTTAATATTAACGATTAAATTAATTAACCTGTTAAATATAACGATTATATCGATTAAAAGTTACGGTTAACAGTTTCGAGTTGTTTTTACTATGGTTTTGGAACGGCTGCAAGGAAGAAGAAAGAGAAAATAAACAAAGTAAAGAAGAAAGAGATGGAGAAAAATCGAAAAAGGGGAGTGAGGATTTTAATGGGGTGACATGATATGACAGTTTTGGGAAAAAGGAAAAAGTCGAGGAGAGTTAATGAGGGAGGAAAAAGGTGAAAATAATAATAATAAAAATAATAGAATAGGTGGAGTTTGAAAATTGAAACTTAAGAGATTCTTTTTTTTTTCGCCAAAAACTTTAAGAAAAAAATTAGGGTTGACTCCAACTTTTCTTGTCCTTTTATCCTAACCCGCCACCTATTCAAAATTCACTTCAAAAAAATTGAAAAGAAAAACACGAGAAATAAAGAGTTAGAAGACAAAGGATGGTACGAATAAAATTAAACAAACGATTTATTTATAAACACAACATAGAAGAAAAATGTCAACTTAAAATTAAAATTAAACAAACAACGCAAAAGTTCTATACTTGTACATCGGTCTACTGTTGTTCTGAGGAATGAAAACCCTAACGACTCTGCAATGGTGACTGAACAACTCCCATAAAACCCCTGTGGATACTCGTCTGCTTAGGTTATTGACAAAGGTCGACCATTCGCCTCCAGTAGAAGGTTGCAAGCTGGCTTCGATAGAATGTTGCACGTTGACTCTAGAAGAAGGTTGAACGTTAGCACCTGAATCGTCTCCCATAATCGTCTTTGAATGGGAGGAAAATTGTGTCGTCTCAAATCACGTAATCTCATGCCCCAAATAATGACATCCAATCAATTGTGCATATATAGTTTTACTTTTTCAACATGACCATCAATTTAGCATTGTCATATCATTTCTTTTTCTCATACATATCTTGCGCAGCATATTTGTACTCTATATTCACTGAGTCATTTACACCATTCAATCTTAATCGTTTCAATAAAGACTCATCATACAACATTTACATTCTTACAAGACAGTCAATAACCACTATTCATTGTTTTAATTCAAATGCTCATATTATTATTTTGCTTTTCAAAGCAACATGATCACATAACACTATATTATATTATATCGTTGAACATTGTTGTACTTCCACCACAGTTCTTCCGCAGATTCCCAACTATATATTGTCAAATTCTAGGGTCCCAAACCCCAACTTCTCTTTTCCATTGTCGTACTGTATAACGTGATATGTACATGTACTAAAGGGGATAATTGCTGAAATTGTGAGTTCAACTCTAAACAATACTGAATTACTAATTCAAATTCACTACAACTTCCATGCAATCCTAGAAAACAAATAACTTGTTAACTCTCATCTCCATTTTTGGCATGAATGTTTCTGCACTTGAAACTGTACTTTTTTGTTCAAGTATAGAAATCAAGAATTTTCATATTAATCCGGAGGGGATTTAGTTTAGTTAGTTTACTTGTAATGTATAATGTTGTCAATGATGCCCAAGTAACATTACATATGTTGATAGGGTCAAAGTCACCTTCTGCATATACAAGTGACTTGTTGTACAACTCTAATGCTAGTGTGAAATACTTACTATCTTCTAATTAGCCGTTTCATTGTATGCATTTTTCCCAGTGCTCCATAATATGCTTTCTCCGCATTTGTCAGCCGATCCTGGAACCCATTCTTTCCTACACCTTTCCCTCACCTGCCACACCAAAATTTCCAACTTTTACCACAACTCTCCTCCAACACATGCATACATACATATATATACGTGTTTAAATACCAAATGGGTGTATTTATATATTTGTTCATACCCCTTCCCATGGGGCCCTTCCACCCTCTGTTTTCCGTTGTGAGAAAAGAAGAAAAACGAAGTGAATTATATACGGTGCATGATGAACACAGTAATGACAACAATTAATGGGTTAATGTTTACCTGGTTTCCGAGCGAAGGAACACTTTTATGTACAATCCACTGAGCATCCACAATCCCGATTTTCTCATGAGGAGGCTGCTCACGGGGGAAGTTGCAAAATCAGTGTTAGGTTGTCTGTATATGGGAGAAAGCTAACTAATGTAGGGGGAATAAGTCGTCAACGACCTCAACACATTTCCGAAGAGAGAAATCAAGGCCCCATCCGTGAACCAAGTCGTTCTGCGCTTTAAAGGAGAAATTTTATCATGAACTGGGAATAGTTGAGGATTGACAACATTCAAAAGAATCAGCTTGCTGCTTACCTGAATCATATGCCAAACACATTGCCATGCATCACGAGAGAACACTGTAGCCATGATCTCGACAAACCTAAGCATCAAATATGCAAGAACATTTGGATAAGATTCAAGGATTAGAAATATGATTAAAGATTTTAACAAATGGGATTAATTATGTTTCATACGCTGCACACGGGGGCAGATGCGGATCAGTACACCAGCCAGGTCTCTCCTCGGTATTCCTATAGGAGAGAAAATAAGTACCAAAAATCAAACTACCTTTCTACCAAAGAAACATTCCAACCTATGCAGAATTACTGATTAGGTATACAGAAACCACAATCAAGCTGTTGGGCTAAAATGCTCTTACTTGTGAACTTCTCCGTCATCTCTCTTTCTTGTCATTGCCCATGTCAATCCTGCACTACTTGCATCTAAGCCAGGCTGGGAAATTTCTAAACCATGTTTTCGGACAAGTTTTATTTATCTGATAAAAAAAGGAGTTTAATTTTAGCTTAACCGAACATATTTTCACTTGAAGCAAGAAAGAGAACATATGGACTTACTCTTCCGCATCGAAGTTCTCCACCCCAAGATCCTCATCCCACATGAAAATGTGCTCATAGGGTGCAACAATATCGGGGTGCAGAAAGCGCTTTGCATACCACCTATATAAAATATTAAGGAGTTCGAGTACAAACACAACTGGAGCTTAGCAAAATCTCATACAACCTACAAGAGTCACGTAAGAGAAAAGGAACCGGTTGCTAACCATTTAGCCTGCTTTGGAACACTCACGTGAATAGCTCGCTTTGACCATTCAAACTCATCCCATTCAGTGGTAAGACCATCGTAATGAAACAATATAATCGTGAAATTCTCCGAAAACTGTAAAACAGAAGTTTTAGATAAGAGAGTCAGACATGCCAGGGAATGTATATATTGCGTGTGTACAGGCGCAGGGGGAGAAGTCTGACCTTTTTCACAGATGCATCAATATTGTCTTTCTGATTGTAACCAACGGTAAAAGTTACAAGATACTTTGGTATGATGGTTAAGTCCTGCAAATGCGATCCATCAACCCGGATTATATCCAAGAAAAATGATCATTACCCTATTAAACTTCATCAGAATACATGAGTAAAAAATAACACAAATTCAACTTTTTAAAATTCCTCCTTACGTTTAGATGGCAACCAGTTCACAATCTGACATGTATCAAACTAGGATAATGAAACATAAAAATGAGTCGATATGAAGTGTTGAAGATGAATACCTCACTTGGCTGGCCCCATAATCGACGAAGGTAGAGATCGGACTCAGATGTAACTATACTAGGTGGAAGTCTTTCGGCACCCCGTGGATTTGAAGGAATCCAGATCTGCCATAATTAAGGATTAACAGTTAGTGCTCACACTAAAACAGGCAAGTGTTGATGCTAATTGATTTTCCTTGAAAATCGTTACATAACCATAGAAGACCATCACATATTAGCCCGAAAAGGAAAGTCTAATGAAGCAGATTGACTCCTATCACCAATCACATAACGTATAAAGAACAGTGCAACACCATCAGAGGTTGTTGCATATACAAAGTAATATATAAGGCAATGACTAAAGGAGGTTCATAAAGTTTCTCCAGCCTATATTAACAAGATTAAAAAGAATTTGCATCCATCTACGGGTAAAATCTTTAATTTTTGTTTCTTTACTTCATAAAACGGTTGTAACCAACATTAAAAATTTCATTGATAAGACAAAACCATCAATTGAGAACCAAGAAGTTGTACATGTAATTGATTGCATTGAAAAGTTATAGTCAAAACTCTTGCGATGATATTAACAACGCCATAACAAATAAGTTCGTAAGATACCCGTTGCTGGAGAAGCCCCATCCTAAAGAAAAGATAGCTTCATCAATTGATAGAACTGACGTCCGGAAGTTGATTTCCCCATTACAAAAAATGCAAAAATTAATTCGTTATATGCTGATAAAACTAATCCTAAATTCGTGTAACTTCGAACTTAATTCAATGCAAATATCGCTTTGATAGCTTATGAAGTGAACTCTGTCTCCAAAAATCTTCAACTACTTCAGTAGAAATCATGGTTAAAATTTTCATAATTTCAAGGCAAGGGACAGCCTACAATCTAATTTCTGAATTGTAATGCGACATATAAAATCGAAATAAATGGGATTTACCTTTTTCTCGGTGTAGTTGTAAGATACATTGATGCAACCTTATTAGCCTTGAGAGTGTTCAAAGAATTAAACAGTGTTTGCGTTGAAAGGCCGGAATATTTGTCCTCAATATATGTAAGATCGATGGAAGGGAATAAGGTTGATGGAAGATTCATCTACCAAAATTCAATCATATCGAAATCAACTCGTTATTCAACGTTAAATAACACAGGAAAGGAGAGAAGGAAACAAAATAAAACCAAACATTTAACAGCTGGACGTATGGGAAGGTGCGAGTGCCATTGTACCTTTGTCAATGAAACTGTTGGAAAGGATACAGCTAAGAAAATGCCGAAAATAACTCCAGCAAAAGCCATAATAATAAGCCTCATAGTCTCATTTGGTATCCTTAACACTGCAGCCCAATAGAGGTGAATGTAACTCATATTAATTCCACTTTTGGTGTTACTTAAACCTTGTAAACTAGTAAAAATGCCAAAGATATAACTGCACCAGATGCAGTCATCAAGTTTGAAGTTCAAATTATAACCTGCAGAGCATGATATAACAATGCTGAAAAAAGGTTTACTAAAAATTAGTATTAATTATATAGCACAAAAACAGACCAGTAGTTCCAATGGTTCTCAAGTCAGTAATAGATTAATCTCAGCTAATCACATTTTACATATAGAAATTGGTTATTCTTGAAGCACTAACTCAACCTGTTACTTGAATTTAGTAGTAGACTGCAAAATCCTAAGCTCTATATTATATTATTGGAAATGAAGATCAATAAAAAATAACTTATTTTTCTAAAACGTACATATGTATAGTTAACATGTCATAGGAAAATGATTTCACGTTTAGATTTCCTTTAAAGGAAAGGTGTTCTTACCAATTAAGTTATGCTTCAGCTACAACATACAAACAGGAGATCCGAGATTCAGCTTATTAAGTTGAAAAGGAACAACCTTTTTAATGAACCAGAGCTAATGGATAAAGCACAAATTTGGATAAAGCAAAAATTTTCGAGATTGATCTTCCAGCATACGAATTCAGCTAAACAAGCTTGAAAATTTCCCTTTTAACCACACCCACAAACTAAAACTGCAGAAAAGAGGAAGCTGCAGCTGAAAATAAATGAAACAAGCAAAATCGTATTGTTCTTAAGAACGCAAATTCTTCTGAAAAAGTATCAAGTTTTTTGTCGACGAAGCTCAGAATAACGTCACCTTTTAACAGAAAATGACGAGTTTGGAACATAATAAATAGTCGGGTGACCATTTTGTAACTTTTGATAGTCGAGGGGCTCGACAAAGCAATACTCTTTAGTCGGAGGACCACTTTGTAACTTTTAAAAGTAAATGGAATTAAAAAAAACAATTGCCTATAGTCGAGGGACCATTTGTGTACTTTATCAGAAAATAAGTTGGTTAACAATGTGAGACTTCAAGTGTTAAATTGTGACGGAACAAATTATTGTGTCAAGTGAGACAAATATAGTTCCGAGGTTAAACTATCCAGTAAGCCTTAAATAAAAAAGAAATGCAAGTGTTAAAAACTGTAGTTGCAAAGATTATTTTGTTCCATAAGAATTTTTATCCACTCCGGGTAGAAAAGATATATACACAATTGGGATGATTTGAGCAAAACTAGCTAGAGAGAGTCAATATCTTAAAAGTACGTTTTAATGGTTTGACCAAAATCATAATTAATCAGTGCCAAAATAGCGATCCCCGAACTCCCTCATACCTGGAATCACTCTGTAATTCTTGTCTAGTGATGAATCAATCTCCAATGTCACAATTTTTAGCTTCGGGAATTTCCTGCACACGGCGAGGATGCCTTCGGGTGCCTTCACTTAACCAAATTTCATATTTTCATACAATTCCGGACAAACGATACAAAAAGACCATATTTAAACATGAAAATATCTCAACTTACTGATATAAGATTAAGATGATGCTGGTTTCCGGGACGCCTTTACTAAGAAGAAGATATACAGCCTTGATTGCCAAATTTCGTAAGTGTCCACAGAATTGGAGGGGGGGAGGGGAGTAGTAGAATCGGAAGAAAAATGACAAGTTTATGCTGTCAAACCTGGAGCCAGAACAGGGTCTAGTAACAAGACATGACGGCTTGAGATGTCTGCCGGTAGCTTCTCATAAATTAACTATACCAAATGTTGATGGTTAAATGAGAAATTGTTTGCCTGTATAGGAGGAATACTCTTTGAACACAGATTTTTTTTTTCCAACCTACCTGCCTCCCATTATTTCCATCTCCATGGATGAGTATTTTACCAATTTTTATTCCCTTGCAGCATGCTCTTAGTGCATTCTCCATGCTTTCTCCGCTGGTACCAGGTAACTCTTTAGTTATTATCGTTTATGACTTATAAGCAACTTCTTTTTTTCTGATACAAAGAGGTCACACAGTCTAGGTATAAAAGAAAGAAAAAATTGGGATTCGAATTCTAGACCTTCTTATAACCGAGACTCCACATAACCTTTTACAGAACACAACACCAGAATACACAGAACCTGCATGCATGAAATCAGGGAGAAATGAAGCCACCAAAAATGTGTTTAAATTGCTGTACATGATACTAGCAGTTACCTGTAGGAGTGATGATCTGTTTCTTAGTGAAGGGAAGGTACCCCAGGCCATGCTCCACAACCTGAAATATGCATTTTGAGACCCTTCTGTATCCTGCTGATTTGTGATTTGATATGATCTCAATTATGAATTTCGAGTCATATATATGATTGTCCGATCGTAATTCTAGGAAGAGATTGAATTGCTTGTTTTGAACCTGAAAATCATGACTTGTAATATGTTATTGAATGATAGAGATGTAATGGAAATGAAGGATTGATATGGAAATGATTTTTAGGATTTGGTTAGGTACGGAAGATGATAGAAGTTGTAGTATGGGTGGAATGGAAGTATGGCGAAGGTATGGGTTGGTAATGGCGTGGAATGTGTAAGATAGATTGAAAAGAAAACAGATTGTGACTCTCTAACTATATAGAGTTAGGAACCAACAATATAAAAAGATGGAATCGAAGTCGAAGTAGATGGAACGTGACCCACTAACTATAGATGAGCTACGAACCAACGCTATAACAAAAGGCAATGGATGAAGACTACAAGACTATCTTGAAGCCGATAAAGTTCTACAAGAGAACAAGAATGAAAGCAACCTCTCAAAGATGTTTTATCTATTCAAACGTGTCTATATAAATGATCCCAAAGGTGCCTATTTATATTATTTCTAAGCAGCATATGAAAAGATTCAATAGATGAAAACATTCTCAACAATTTAGCAATAAAATCCACTTGAATGCTTCGTCTTCTTATCTTCAAGGTTGATTAAATATTCTAGATCATTTTGGGGAAGAATCTAGACAATTTGAACTTAATTTCGTCCAAGGGATCGAAGACTCTTGCTATTCCATGCTGAAAATTGTCTTAATAAGTGATTTAAATCAGCCTTCATTGCATGCTCCCTTGAAGAATATGAACAGCCCTTGAATTTAAATGATAACAATCTGCTTTGAATGCCTTGAATGGGTGAATTAAGAGTCCTTCAATGGCTTGTCACTTGGATGAAGTTGAAAAGACTCTCCCTTGGCTCAAACTCATCCAAATCATCCATGCATAAAATTCCCGTAACAAAATTCCAGCATACACTCTCTTCAATAAATCGATCATATCTCAAGCTCCCGATATCATATTGAGATGATTCAAAAGGCGTTGGAAAGCTAATAGATAGATGAATAATTCCCAATTGATTTTTGGAACCAAACACGTCTGAGTTGCATCCAGAATTGGAAGACATTCTAACTGACATTCTGACTGATATTCTGATTGACATTCTGGCATCTGATGAAACCTTTCAACTTCTCTCATGCACCTTGACACTAAGGTGAACTTTATTCAATCTTTAATTAAAAACATGAATGAAATAATTAAGAGTTAGTTTAAGAAATGAACTAGTTTGATGAATGAACTAGTTTAATTAATGAACTAACTTTATTAAATAAACTAGATGCATAAATGAAGTAGCTTACTAAATGATCTAAATATATAAATAAACTATTTCCCTAAATAAACTAGATGTTTTAAATACAATGCATGCTTAAATGAACAACACACTTA